CCCACACCCACACCCACACCCACACCCACACCCACACCCACACCCACACCCTGCTTGCTAAAAAGTTCATTGACGTCACGACAACAATCTTTCGAAGTGACTAATACTTCTAAAGCAATATAAACAAACGGCACTGCTTCTTATAAAACTATTTGCATTTCATTTCTTTCTGTAACATATAGCAAACAAAACAAAATGTTGACATCATTTGGTTTATGCCTTTGGCTGTTTATTTTGGCCTCTCATATTTCGCTATCCAATTCTCTTGCTACTACAACGTGCACCACTAATTCTGACTGTGGTTCAAACGGAGTGTGTTCCACCTCGACTTATACTTGCAATTGTACTACAGCTGGCTATGTCACTGTTGATTCCAGTAAACCATGTGCTTATCAACAAAAAAAGAAACTAGTTGCATTCCTTCTCTCGTTTTTAGTCGGAGTATTCGGTGCAGATTGGTTTTATCTAGCGGCTGGTAATGGAGGCTATATTGCAGCGGGTGTCTTCAAGTTATTAACATTCGGTGGTCTCGGTATCTGGGCTTTAGTAGATTGGATTCGTGTATTGACAGATAGTTTTCCTGATGGTCAAGGAGTATCATTACAAGATTGGAGTTAATGGAGTCATAATCAATGGAAACCAAATACTGTGAACTATTATTTTTTTTGGTAGATAAGATATTTTGTATGTCCATTGATTTTGTAAACCTAAGCATATAACAACTAAGAGTTCAATGATGTTTATCAATCCTCTTCCTTATAAAAGTAATTTTTTAGATAAAAACCAATTTAATCTCTTGATTTAAATTCAGAACAGAATATCATATTTTGTTGTGTTGTACAAGCAATCGTTGATTTCGTCTCCCTCAAAAATTTCTTTCGATTTTGTCAGTTAAGTATTCATGGTTTTCTCTTATGGGAACACCTTACATCTAGGATGGCTTGGAGTAGACATAAGTCAAAAGGGTGTAGGTGGGTGTTGGTGTGGCTGTCTCAAAGGGTGAGCAAAAAAATTAAACCGACTACCACACCTACACACCTACACACCCGCACCCACACCCACACTCATCTGTCGTCATTTTGTCATATTTATTCGATAACAATTTGGATATATACTCGATCATGGGAAGATCTTATCAACCGAACGATAGTTTTCAGACGATTCGACTGCCAGTATTTGTGGTTTTTTGAATATAGATCCCATAGAAAAAGATCGTCTTAACAATATTATGTCATGCAGGCTATATAATAGATTGTCAGTTATGTACAGAAAATCTGTCGAAAATGACGCGCCCATCACGGATCTAAACTTGCTTTTGTTGCGATAGTATTGAACAATTTTCTTGTATGTGGCCTCTTATTATTAACCCATGAGACTATTTCCATGTAACTATGATATTCGATAGTGTTTCAAATTCCTTTATGCCTGACGGCTTTCATGAAATATTGAGCACTTACCGATAAACTAGAATATATTGTATAGCTTAAAAAAGCTACTCACAATTGGTGTTTATCACGTGCCAAGATGTTATTACCAACAACATGAAAGAGTAAAAAAATGACTGACGGCATCAGTTTGCAACATGAAAAGATTCATTCGCTGTTTTCTTCTGTTTTTTTTTCTTGACTCGCAAAACAATTGCACCATACTTGAAAATTTTGTTTATTCTTATATCAACAAACGGTCGGAAGTAGGAGAAAACAGAAATGGTTGAAGACAAAATCAGTTGCTTAGTATTTTTAATGATCGAGAGTAGATGAGAGACAAATATTTGATCTGAGCTAATATTTTTCGTTGTCTTATTCACTGCAATACCGTATGATGTTCGAATTTGCTGTCGAATAAAAACACTATTATTTTATGCGATTGAACGGAAAAGGATCTGCAACATACGTCGAACATCGCTTTTAGAAATGGATGTTGGCTGTGTTTCTACAATTAGACAATCCTTGGTATTGTTATCATGCAATTTTTAAATGTTTCTCGAAGGTTATATCTGAGAACTAAATCACTATAAGGGTGTGGGTGTGAGTGTGGGTGTGGATGTGGGTGTGGGTGTGGATGTGGGTGTGCGTGGGTGTGGATGTGG